ACAGTGCATCAGCCAGCAAGTGGACTCCTTCATGACTTCTGCTTCAAGTCCCTGCCCTTACTTCCCTCAGGGAAGGACTGTGACCTGAAAACTTAGGCTAAATAAATCCTTTCCTCCCCTGAGTGACTTTTGGTCTTGTCATCTGTCACAGCATCAGAAAGGACACGACTACAGCGCATATATTGCCTCCCCAGCAGCACACACACTTCTGTGGGAGAGGCTTGTTGGGTTTCAGTGCCCACGACATTCCTGAGTGTCCTTGGCTCATTGATAAGAGTGCACACAGGATGACGGAGCCCTGCGGTTGGGTGACTTCCCTGGGGAGACTTAAACATCTATTCACTTCTAATAGAGAGGGAGGAGACAGAGCAAAGAAAGAGTCTGTCAAGTCCACCTTGGTGAATCACTGAGTTTCCCTGGATACTGACAGATGCATGAGTGACTCACGAGCAACTGCCGTCACGACGTCCCACCCAAGTCGGCAGCCTCGGCATCTCTGAGACCACAAAGCCAGGGCAGAAGGGAGTGGTGATCGGAATCTCAGGGGAGGGTCCCGTGATCTCCCTTCTCCAAGGGGGAATGTCAACAGCCCCAATACCGTAGGCTTAGGTGTCTGGTGTATAGGTTTGTTTCTTCCGTTGCTTTGACGACAGGCCAAGGTCTTCCATGGGTCACCACAGCTGCTCGGTTCCATGATGACCATGGTCACACCACGCCTGCAGGAGACAGCTCCACAACATCCACCAGACTGCAGTACCTTCCTGTACCTGGGCACATGGCCTACCCACCCAGAGGCTTTGACTCCTCATACCTGAATCCTAGCCCTAGCGCTTAAAGGCTAAGGCAGGAAATCAGCTGCAAGCTCTGAGCCAGTCCAGGCCATCTAGTGAGACCCTGTGTTTAAAAAACAAGGGGAGGGGCCAGTGAGATGGCTCAGCCATAAAGGTACTAGTCTCTTAAACCTGAGCTTGAATCCCAGAACCCACATAAAAGTGGAAAGAAGTTGGGGGGGGTGTTGAAGAGATGTCTTAGGGGTTAAGATCACCTACTGTTACATGAGATGTGTTTCTCTAAGTAAATAAATAAATAAATACCGTATCAAACCGGACAGTGGAGGCGCACACCTTTAATCCCAGCATTTAGGAGTCAGATGGCAGGCGGATCTCTGCGAGTTCAAAGCCAGCCTGATTTACAGAGCAAATTCCAAGATAGCCAAGGCTACACTGAGAAACCCTGTCTCAAAAAAAAAAAAGAAAAAAAAAAGGAAAACATATCAAAAATACAAAATAAAGAAAAAGTTCTAGCTAGCCAGAGTCACATAGCAAAGTCCTGGTCTAAAAAAAAAAAAAAAAAAAAAAGAGTCAGGCATTTAATCCCAACAGTCGAGAGGCAGAGACAGGCAAATCTCTGCATTCAAAAGCCAGCCTGGTCTACAGAAGTTGTTCCAGGACAGACAAAGATGCACAAAGAAACCATGTCTCCGAGGAGAAAAAGGAGAAGAAGAAGAAGAAGAAGAAGAAGGAGGAAAAAAAGAAAAAAAACTTGTAAGCCACAA